CAACCAATCACAGTTGAGACTGTCCATTGTGGTTGCCATTGTCTCTACCAAGAAGCTCGTATTTCTCTGTTTATTAACATATGAAAACATATAAAAACATTCAACTCCAGAGCCTGAATAGCTTGTGAAATGATCTGAAGTTAGGATCCACTGATTCAATTTTGCCTGAAAAAACCTTATTAACTGCTGGTCACAGTATAAATTAAAATTGAGGAAAACATTAAATGATAAGCGAAGGTGTCATGTTCTGTATATCATGCTTAACACCAATTATTAACCCTGTGAGTATGATTTATCAGCACAGGTCAGGCCTTTATTACAAACCACAAAAAGAAGAAGTGATGACTATTGATCTTATGACGTGTCATTGTTCCGCTGGGTAAACTTTGGCTATGGTGTTTTTATGGATGCTGCTTTGACAAAATTCACCAACCTAAATACTGTTTTAATCTACATCAATCCCATTCCTTAAAGGCTGCAGAAGATGCTAACCTCAATGAATCCTACTACAGTAGAGAACTTTATCTCTTCACATGTCCAATAGGTTTGCCATAAATCCCTAATTTTTAACTATGTCTCTGGTATGGATAAATGGAGCTATTACAAATGTCTTCAAACTTGTCTTGCTCAATTTGACTTGTTTTATTTCCAGTTACTGTGGCTGAAATAAGCAGAATTTATGTGCAGCATGGCCATTGTACTGCACATTTATCCTCATGTACGGTACCAACAGCATAAATTACACAATTCAATTGATTACTGTCCTCTACAGTTGCATGGTGATTCAGTGATTGGGTATTTGTCTGGCTACCTCTGTGTGGCTGCAGCCCACATCAGATAAAACACTTAAACAATTACTGTCTTATCTGCTGGGCTGGGAGAAGAGCTTGTGGCCTCATTATGGCCAGATTAGACAGAAATTCAGCGCCTTACTCACTTCTCAGTCCAGATCGTCAGTCCAATGGGCCCTCAGGTGGCTCTAACCACATTACAGTGTTCACTGAGGAGAATGTGATGCAAGACAAACATTATTCTGAGCATTATGCATTCTGTGGTGGAAAATTGTCAGAATCTGTTGATTTGTCTGGCAAAGAATGCTCTGAAAATGGAAATGAGATTTTAATGTCCCGCCAGAGACTTACAGTATAGATTTAAAATATATAGTAGTTGGCCTACTTAGCTATCAAAATAGTATGTCTTAATATTGGTTACCACTGTATAATCCAACCTGCACTTTCCTGGTACTTGCATGTTGTTGACCAATTATTTTCTGTTATTTATTTGAACTTTTCTAAAGAAAAACCTTACAGAAAACCTTTCATGAACATACGTGTTTTAGTTAAGTGTCAGTTATTTCCTGACACTTTCCCAGAACTTGCACTTTCTAGAAACTTACCCTTTCATTATAGAACTTACAAAGAACATTTACTGGACATTTTGAGGAAGTTTACCAAATTATTTTTGATAAATTGTGGTATACTTTCCAGAAACAACATGGTTCTTTCAGGAGGCACATTTAATGCCCTGTGTAATTTAACAGTTTTAAATAACAAAGACAATCCAGGTAAAGATAGTTGTTCACAAAACCAACCTATAATACTAATAGTATAATAGTAATTAAATCTGGAAGAAAGTAATAAGCAACAAGCTACATTTAAGTTTCATAAATTAATGAAACCACACAATATCTTTTAAGGCTCCCTGTAATATCTAAGAAGATCTGAGAGATAAAAAGGTGGCTCAGGAACACTTTACAACCTCAAGGTTCTGTGAAAATAAAACGTATTTGTTTCAGCAAGCTGAGGCTTTAATGTGTTACCAGTAATTTCATCACCCATCCATCAAATGTTTGCACCCACATATCAGTGCAGGGTTTCTGAGGACAAATTCAAATAGATATATGGAAAAAAAAACTCAGTTCTTCATTTTGTACCATTTCAGCAAAGTCTGGGTGTTTTTTGTTCATTTTCTTCATGGTTTTAGAGGTTAACTTTCGGAATGCTACTCTTACTATTCTTGCCTAAAGATAATCTGCATGTATCAGTGAAAATATTTGTAAAACCAAACTAAATAAATCTAAATTTTAAATTACCACAAAGGGAAACAGTACCAACTTGATTTCCTTGCAAGGATATAAAGCATAGAGAAAAGCTATGCTTACAAAAACGTTAGCCAGAACAATGGCTTATAAAACTTAGTTTTTGAGAAAGAAGCAGAAAAAGATGGCGTAACAGTCTTGAGATAAAATGTATGCAGTATGATTTGAAGATGACTGAAAAGTAAGTTTTTTGAAATTCAGTTGTCCAAACGTTTTGTTCAAATATCCGGGTATCGTTTCTGCAGCACAGGCATTATTTCTCTTTATTCCAACCCTTGTAAGAGAAAAGTCAAAAAGCTGGAGGGTAAGAACTGTTTTGTGAAAGGGCATTTAAATTTTCCAGTTTCACCCATCTCCTGCTCCCTTCTTTTCTTTATGTCTGTGCTGCTCTTCTTCATGTGGTGACAATGCAAAAAGACGCTCAGAAATCGAATAATGGTGTTTGAAAGAATAATGAAATCTTAATGCAGCCTTTGTACTGTGAAACACATGGTCTTTCTATCGGTCTCAGTCACTCACACGGCTATTTGCTTTGTCTTTTTTCCCCATGCCTGTTCTTCCACTCACTGCACGCATCTCTTCCTGCTCTCCTCTGCAGGGCAGCCAAGGCCGGCTGTCAGTGTTACAGGCAGCTCCACTCAAGCGTGCACTTACATTTCTGATGGTGTTTTTCTCCCACTCAGTACCAGACTTAACATTAGAATCGTGATTGGTTTCTGTTGGTTCACATAGAGTTGTTGACAGACCCTGTTGTAATATTATATATACCATCAACCAGCAGGAAGCATGAGTTTTTAGCATAGCTGTAAACTGTCAGTCTTCCTGCCCGCATGGATGTACGTAATTTCAGTTTTCTATTTTGGCCGTTGCAGAAATATCTCAATAACTATGGGTTGCAGTGGGGAGATGCTATGGAATTATATGAACTCCCCTTTTACAACATTGAGATTTTTTTTAGCTGTTTCTCCGTTGATTTCTCATCCATTCTTTTTTACCTCACTATAAAAACATTACTGCAATGGACAAGTGAAAAAAAGAAATAAAAGATTGCTCCACTTTTCTGAAAAGTCACATCTTTAAAAGACAGAAAATAATTTAGCAAATATCTGACAGAATCAAAGACATGGATCATTCTTCCACTCAGCATTTAATCTGTGCCCCATCAAGTTAAAAATATCTTTAGAAATCAACTTGCTGTTGATTACATTTTTTCCATTTGTTTAAGTGGTTTGTCTTCTATTTTTACAGTTTCGGCTATTGAAGTATGAAAAATGTGTTTCTGTAGCTTCATTTAATTGTAGACACAATTGATTCATCTCTTAGTTTTAAGAGATGTTCTGCAATAATTCATGGACTGGATATAACTTCATTGGCATCATAAAATAAGCTAATGTCCAAAAACCTTCAAAAGACAGAAAACAAATTAATAAAATTACTTTCACTGTCTACAAGAAAATATTTTGAAGGAAAATGTAGAATATAAGAATGTTCATGGTCCGTTAGATGCCCACATTCATGATGAGTTAGATCCAGGTTTCATATGATCCAGGTTTCATATGTGTAACTACTGGAACTGGCCTAGATATCATTGAGTTTTGAATACATAGAGAACCCAGACTGTCATGAAACAAGAAAATTAAAAAGGGGATCAAATTTATGTTGCATCTTCTGAATAGCAAACACAGACATGTTGAATGCTTCGCTGTGAATTGTGCCTGAAACATAAAGTTGAAGGGGATATCCAATAGCTTTAATGATTCATCAATGTCGCTAAGCCAAGCATTTAATTTCTCCATCACTTTGGTTCATGAGCAAATGCACTCAAAATGATACACATTACCAGCTGTAGGTGTACTCTGCAATTACACCTATTTATCATATACTATAGTGATGTGTTGCGGAGGTAAGGCTTGCCGTTTCCTGTCTTTATGCTTGTATAATAAAAGCTGTCAGTGTTTGTTGTCAGCAGTCCTCATGACCTTGCTGATTCCAGGCTTTAACTCTTGACCCTGCTGCTCATGTATTCTGGGACAGACAGTCACTGAAAGCTCCCAGTAGTAGATGTACCACCAGTACATCTCCACATCCAGTGAAACTCTTGTTAATTGTGTAAACAGATTAAATAAATTTATTTTTGAAGTGTTTACATTAAAAGAGTAACAGTTGTATTTTGATGTCTCAGATCTGTTCTGTTCTTTTTTAGAGAATACAAAACCAGAAATGTTTTTTAAAACCATTGTTTCTTGCTGTTGGACTAAATGTACTTAATTTAAATCTCATGTTTTCTAAATGTTTCAGTGTAAGATTATGCTACTGCAAAAATAGGTTATGTATTTATTTTATTTAAAGGTTTTTGCATAGAATTTATACAGAAAGTTTTCACAGCTTCACCATTTCCACATTTTGTTTGTTGATACACCCTTATTCCAAATTACATTAAATGAATCTCTTTCCTCAAAGTTCTACTCACAAATACCCCATCATGACAATATTTAAGACAAAATTCGAGTTTTTTGTAGATATTAAATATAGAAGAAAAAAAATTTACATTGACATAAATATTTAGAACTTTTGCTTTGTACTTTGTTGATCCACCAACAAAGTGGATCAACAGTATTTCTTTTCCAAACTCCTCACGTACCATCAGGCTGGATGGGCCTTTAGTAGAGAGTAGAGTAAGGTTGAAATAGAACAAAATGTTGAAAAAAATAAAGCACCATAAATACTTTCCAGATGCAGTCTATATTTACTACGAGCTGAGAGCGTACTTTAGGTTTTATGTAATATTTGGTGAAGGTGTAAAACAATGGTATTTGATGAGAATTTAAGAAACACTTTTTATGATAATGATAAGCACATTCTGATGAAAATACAATATGTTTTTCTCTCCCTCTCCTTGAAGACGATGCTGACTGCCATCTCGATGAGTGCCATCGCTACCAATGGAGTAGTGCCAGGTGGGTGAGCAGACGCCGGCGCCACACAGTCATCGCTGTTTGATGCTGCCCGCTTCTAAATTTTCCCTTTTCACGGATTGCTTTTGGCACATTCCTCCCTGCACAGCTTGATATATTCAGAAACATTAGGATCTTTAGTCTGTGATCTTGTGCTCTTTAACTTTCTCGTCATACATTATTTACACAAAATAAAGTATCCGCCAAATTCCTGCCAGTAGAACCCAAATCTGCACATTTGGATCCCTGTGACGATGCGTCGCTGTACGCATGCGGTCTGTAATGTGGGGCTACGTAGTAATAATGGTCCACATCTTATGTTCAGCAGGGGTCACAGAAAATTACAGGCTTGTGAAGGAGCTTGGATCTGAACACCCATTATAAGCGTCTGGTGTAAAATGGGTGGCATCCTTTATGTTGTTGGGAAGTGCTGATTAAGGCCTACTTATTTATGCACAATTAATTAATTGGCACAATGTTTCACATAAATATAAAGGCGCTGTATTTACAAGTAAGAATAAGAAGAAGTTAGTAGCACAACACAGCTATACATCAGTGTTTCTTGTAATATCAAAGGATTAATGCATTACTAATATTAATTATGGAAAGGTGAATATTTATAAATCAAGGTAAAACTATTGTAAGTGTATTAATACAACATTCAGGTTTATTCCATTTGTTGTCAAGTTATCATCAACAAATCACAAAACTGGTGGAAAGCTAAGAGTAAATGATATAGCTGATTAAAATAAACTTGAATAGATGTATTTTACATCTAACTCAGTCATAAAGAAAACATATGCATGCCAATGTTACTCTGTCTGTTTTTAGCTGGGGGCTCCTACTACATGATTTCCCGTTCACTGGGGCCTGAGTTTGGTGGAGCGGTGGGGATCTGCTTCTACCTGGGAACCACCTACGCTGGAGCCATGTACATCCTGGGAGCCATTGAGCTGCTGCTGGTATGAATCCTCTTACCAAGATTATTGGGTTCCCGCTCTCTCTAATACTCAAATTTCTCAAATGAAAATGGTTTTGAGCTCAGCCTCATACACCTAGCTGCAAGTTTATTTTGCCAACTGCAAAATAAACTTGCAATCTCTTGCTGGTCCATTTTACTTATTACAGTTGTGTACCCAAATTCCCTTTAAGGTGGATTACTATTATTATTATTATTATTATTATAGATAATAACGCCAAAACATCACTTTTCTAAACACATTCCAGGCGTCTGTTTGCACAACTTTTGCAAATCCTCAAAGGTTGAGTACAAGAAAACCAAAAATACAAAACAACTTTTTGTAATTTTTGTTTTTTATTTATTTATCTGTCATTCACTCATGCTGTCTCTGAACTAAACACATTCAAATTATATCAGTCCTTTATTAAAGGAGAATATTACTAAATTTCTTTCCTCCAAGTGTTTTTATATTAACTTCATTAAGTATACAGAAATAATTTGTTTTCTCAAAAATCTTCAAAAAAATAAATTATGGAGCCAATATTTGAAATTTGTTTACCAGTATTTATTAAGTTAAGATTGATCAATTTAGCCTTCTGTACAAATCATGTGTTATTGTAATAAAAATAATGCGTGAACAGCTGAAATCAGTCTTCTCCCACTCAAACAATGGAGTCAGGAATATCTTGAGATATTTCTGCTGCAGCGTTCCCATGCCAACCCCAATGGCTTGTTAATCTTATCTGTGCTTGTCTCTATTTTTGTTGCTCAGCAGCAGGAAGATGATCCTCACATTTTTAATCCTGACCACAAACCTACATGTGGCCTAAATTTTCAAACCGGGCAAAAAGCTGTCTATCTACAAAACAGGCGATAGACTGGCGTGGACACGGCCAAAAAGTAAAACCGCTCATAAATCGTCTGCATGCATGATGTTATGAAATTAATGTGAGCTTTGTACTAGATGGAAATCCTTCATCCTCACAGATAATCGAAGCCATTTTAGTCTCACATTCTGCCCATATTGTTAACAGATTACTTGAATATATTTCAGAAAGTGTTATCATTCCTCCTTCCTTCTTTCTTCTTCTGCCTTTTGTTTCTCTTGTCTTCCTCTGCAGCACAACATCCTGCAAGGAATTTTGGGATAATCACGCAGATGATGCATTAATGAGAGATCTAGATACTGACAGGCTTACAGAGGCATTCTCTCCAACATCTCTGACGATGACTATTTTATGATTAAAATATTTTTTTCTGTTATCATTCGTTCTCCTTCTGCTTGTCTCTTAAGGTCATGCAGAGTTTGATTATGCCTGGAGGTTAATATTGTCTTCTGGGTCAAAGCTGGCTTAGTTTCCATTGTAAAACAATCCCGTCGGAATAGTGCGGAACAGACCGGCACAGTCCCCATTTGAATACATTTCATCCTCCAATCCCCAGCCAAGAACACAAATCGAAGCTGCTATTTTCGGAAGTAGGAAGAGTTCAAAGTGAAGCAGGAATTTTTTTTATTTTTTTGACTGGTGATGTGCTGCTATTCACATCAGATCAGCTCTTCAAACCAAACGTTTGAGCTGAGCTGTAGCGCTCCACTCATTCTTGGCACTTTTAAAAATAACCTTTTTTCAATGATTAAACAGTGTGTGGTGGAAACCTAACGGCTGTTTTTTTTTTTTTTTTAAAAGGGAAGAAACTCCCATGCTTATGTAACCGCAATGCTATGAATCATCACGAGTTCATGACAGATACTGATGGTAATTGTGGGTTTACAGTTTGATGTGATGGGGCTATTCTTGGATTTAGTAATAGTAGCAGTGTATTAATGACACTTAACTTTCAAATATTAATTTTCTTGCTTGAATTCTTTTATTAAATTGAGTTAAAATTGCAATAGCGTGCAACAGAGGATTGCTAATGGAAGAATCACAAGTTTTACTCTCTCCTCACCTTCATTTTCTGCTCCTGGCTTCTTTTTTATGATTCCCTTAGTCTATTTTTCCCTGGTTGACCAGTAATACATTTTTCCGCTAACAGTTCACAAGAAGATCAAGATTCTAGCGTTAAGTCTGCCAGTTGAAATCCCTTGGTACTCTCTGGAAAATGAGAAGTGAAAGTGAAACAATCACCTCCAAGATGCCCCCTGGCAAAAATCTGTTTTTTTTCATAAGAAAAAATGTGTTTTATGTATGACCCCCCCTATCTTTAGATCTACATAGCTCCCAAAGCAGCCATCTTCCCCCTTGAGGGCCTGGAAGGTGCCGAGGCGGAAGCCGCCCTGCTGAACAACATGCGTGTGTATGGGACCATCCTGCTGACCTCCATGGCCACTGTGGTATTTGTTGGCGTCAAGTATGTGAACAAGCTGGCCCTGGTGTTTCTAGCCTGCGTCATCCTCTCCATACTGGCCGTCTATGCTGGAGTCATCAAGACCGGCATTGATGCACCCGATTTCCCGTAAGTGAGACAACTAAGACAGAACAGCAGAAGAAACTCAACCATAAATCAAACTGTGAGGCATCTGAAAATTCATTTTACTCTTCAAATCGATGCTACTGAAGAAAAAAGCAACACATAGAAACAAAACAGCGTTTTTTGATTTGCAGCAAACTTGATTAATGTTGTATTAAATGAGTTACTACTATAGAACACTGTCTTGCATATTTCTATCCTTGCTTGTGTGCACAGCATCATACAGTATTATGCATAGCTGTTTGATTTCCTAATATTGCTCCTGTAAATGCTACAGAGCAGTACTTATTGTTTGTATCCTGTTAACTTTGTCATAGCACAACATTATGAAGAATGCTCTGAAAAATGAAGAAAGAGGACAAGTCAAGGCAAAAAGAAGGGCTAGACCTAAAAAACATACATGCAGCCAATGCGGTATCTGAAAGACATGTCTGCATGAAATGCTAAATTTAGAAAATAATTCTCCCAGCAGATCTGAAACATGCCTAATTTTGGAGAGCATACTGCATGCCAGAAGTATAATGTTTTGCAGCTTGTTGGTAAAATACAAATATGCACTTACTAGGCTTTTCTTGGCCAATATCTGATTCTGCTTTTCTGATTTCTGCATTTTTCCAGACAAAAATGAAGAAATTGTCCTAATTTTTAGGATAATTTATGAGCGTATGAGCATAACCTGGATTTTCTTTTTACTAAAAAGTGCTTTTTAATACATGCTTTAAGTCAATTCTGTTAGTTTAAGAGTTTGCAAATACCACTGATCTGAGTCAATTAGGGGAAGATTACTTTAAAAGACAGAATGGCCCCTTTGAAGCAAATTAAACATAAATTACATGTATTTTTTTTTGTCAAATATCCATATTAACTAAAACTAGAATAACTGCCTTTTAAAGACTAAGTTCTACATTTAAAACAGAAAACCGTCATGTACTGATTTTGGTTTTTATGTTATTTACAAAGTAAATGATCATATTTTCTGTCTTTATTACATCACAGTATTTATGCCAAATTTGGTGTGTGAATCAAATCAGATCGCAATAATGTGAATATGCAATATTTAAGTGATTTGAAGATGCCAAAAAAATTTTTCCACAGTGTTTGTATATTGGGAAATCGTACTTTGGTGTGGAAGAACTTTGACGTTTGTGCCAAAACCATTGAGACCGCTAATGGGACAGTCACCACCCAGCTGTGGCGCATGTTCTGTGACTCATCTTTCTTGAATGCTACCTGCGACAAATATTTCCTGGCCAACAATGTGACTCAGATCCAGGGAATTCCCGGGGTTACCAGCGGAGTCCTGGCAGGTGAGTCTGACTGTTCTGGATCTGCTAGTGTTTACATCTTTGCAAAGTGAAAATAAAAGTTAGGTTTTGTTATGCATTGCTGGGGTCATTTACTGAAGCTTTGGCAATTTAACATCCAAAGACAGAAGCTTCATTTAAAAGAAGTAAATAAAAAATAAAGAAGGGGAAGAAAAGTGTTTTGGTGTTGCTTTTTTCAGTGAAACAATTTTTTTCTGGTAAGGGTAGAAATGAAAATTATTAACTTCTCTTTTACTGACTGCAGCATAGAATTTTTGGTCTCCTTGTCATTTTCTTACAAGGACACCAGGTTTTGGATCAATCAGTTTTGTTCCTCAAAGCCGGAAGTGTTTTGCAGCCAGACACAGTTCACTTCACTCAGCTTTTTCGGCAGACTGGTTCCAAACTCTTAGCTTTAGAAAGCGCAGAGCTAGATTAACCTTATTTGACTCTGATATTTAACAATAAAACCCTGCACTAATCAAACGGTAAGGACTGTGCCCTTTAAAAATAATTCTTCAATTCTGAAACTGTTTGTATTTTGCTGTTCAGAATAGATTTATTGTGACATTTCTACGTATGGATCAGTGACAACCTTTATTGTTACAGTTAATGACATCTAAAGCTGATTAACTCCCCCATTAAAGATTGTGCTCTGTTAAAGAGGTTGAAGAAGGACAAAAGCAGCATTAATTCAGGGCTGCTGGGTTGCCTGCAGTTTCCCCAATCACTATTCTGACTTCTGTGAGCACAAAAGAGAAAAACAGTCGGCTGACTTCAGAATTACTAAATATCATAGTTGGAAAAACATTTCTGATTTTCACAATTGTAGGTGAAGCAAAAAATTAAACAATGTCCTGTTTTCTGAATAGATTAATTGAATTAACATAATACTTTTTTTAAGCTCCTTCTTATGTAGTGACCAGTGTGGACCATTGTTCTTGTCAACACATTTTATCACCAACAGACAACCTGTTTGGGACCTACTATGAGAAGGGGGATCTGATTGCCAAACCTATCCTGGAGTCAGTGGAGTCAGATGATGACCCTCTGACCAACGCTAACCGCTATGTGTTAGCCGACATCACCAGCTTCTTCACTCTGCTGGTCGGCATTTACTTCCCATCAGTGACAGGTGACAATTGCTTCCAGTTGTTTTCTTTTTTTTATTATTTGCTAATAGGTCCTTGTGTTACAATAAACTAGTGATGAAGCCTGAAATGAGGGTAGTTGTGGACCCAGAATATTCAAAGACATATCAAGATAATTACAAAGTTGGCCTTTTATCACCTGAAGAACATTTCTAGGATTAAAGGACTAACAGGGCATTTGTCAAAATGCCCTGTTGCTGAATGTGCTATGGAGACAAATTTGTCTTGTCCTCATTTAATATTAAACTAACAAAACTTTTATGTGTACGCATTCGTAATCTCGGTGCTGCTTGCTTCAACTTTCTCCACAGGAATCATGGCTGGATCCAATCGCTCCGGCGATCTGCGAGACGCCCAGAAGTCAATCCCCATTGGAACCATTGCAGCCATCACAACCACTTCCACTGTCTGTATCCTCACATGACTGCGCCTTCAGCACCACACTCATCCTCAAAACAAGATCGTTTTAAAAATACATTACACTACTTTGAGAAACGTTGCCTAGGTTGTCCTATGTCAGTCAGATACTTTATCGCTGACAGGATTTTAAGCTTTAGGCGTTTTCTCTGCTGTAGTTAAAAGAAAGAAAGTGATTGTGGCCGGCAGGGAGCCTCATAATTAAAGGTCAGTGTTTTAAATCGGAAAGGTCATTATTGTGATGACACTCGTCTCATTTTGGCACTTAGTTAAAAGTTATTGTGGCGCTCAAGCCATTTTCATGAAATAGTTGTAGTAAATTAATACTGTTTTGGGTTTCATTGTGTGTGGTATTTACGAGTTGTGTCGCAGTTTGACGTGGTTGCGGAGGGGAGTTAATATCCCTCCGCCGTTGCGGTTGTGGTGTGCCGTGTCTCTTGTTTTTTTTTTTTCTAACGGCTGTGTAGCGACACCGCTGAGTTACTTTGTAACAAATATTAAATTAAAATGTTGCGGACTCAATCGCAAAAGCTCGTATGATTGTCTCATGCATTATCATGCATTATTAATATTGTTGCCTCATTTATAAAGTTTGCTTCCAAGTTGATTTATGGCCACTTCTTATATTTGTTGATTTTTATCTACATTAAAAGTAAGGTCATGATTTATAATGACCTTGTTGTGCAGTTATCAATTTTCTTCCATACAGGCAGAATAGAGAAGCAGCTGAATTGAATAACCTCCAGTGTCTCTCTAAATAATCAGCTTGTAGTCTACACAAATTTGATTAGGACTTCTAATCACATTATGTGGTTGCCTATGCAAGTGCAAGTTAATAAACTCGAGGGATATTTGTTACAGTGTCACTGATCACTTATATACTCCACTAAACAGTATTGATTACTGCATTTTCCTTCCTAATATACTTAACCACTAGATGAGAAAATGAAATGCATTTTAAGAATTGAGTGGATGCATTACCTGTCATTTGGAAAATATATCAACTGTCTCTATGCGGTGGCTTACCTTTCCTGAAGCATAACTTTCCAGACATGTCCAGTGTGATTCTGTTTGGTGCCTGCATTGAGGGGGTGGTCCTCAGGGACAAGTAAGTCCATGTTTGGTGTTAGAAAGCAATTTGATTCATTAAACTCTGCTTAATTTCACTTCATTGAGACTGAGAAAAGCAACTGTTTGATGTTTTAAAGTATTGTTGATCTCCTTTTTTAGGTTCGGAGAGGGCGTGCATGGGAACTTGGTCATTGGGACGTTGGCTTGGCCGTCACCGTGGGTGATCGTAATTGGCTCTTTCTTTTCCACTTGCGGGGCAGGGCTCCAGAGCCTGACGGGAGCTCCCCGTCTTATGCAGGCCATTGCCAAGGATGGCATTGTGCCCGCCCTTCGGGTGAGTTTTTGTTGCTTTCACAATCAGAACATAGTGACTAATTTACAGGAGCAAGAGCAGAAGGTACCACATGCAGTCAAAACCGTGTAAAAAGCTGTGGTAATGAATTTTCTGTTTGTGCAGATCTTTGGCCACGGAAAGGCTAATGGAGAACCGACATGGTCCCTCCTGCTGACAGCTTGTATCTGTGAAAGCGGCATCCTCATTGCCTCCCTGGATTCTGTGGCTCCCATCCTCTCCATGTAAGAACTGAAAACTAAATTAATTTATATTTTTAAAAACGAACAGTAGGAGAGCTCAGAACATTCAGTTCGCCTAAATAGAAATACCAGTGCACTCAAAATTAATCTCACCAAAACTTCTCTCCCTTCATATCCATTTTGAGGACCCCAATTTGTCAGTTCTCATAAGAGAAGCTATGTTAACCTGAGTTACTTTCTGTCCTGCAGGTTTTTCCTGATGTGCTATATGTTTGTGAATCTGGCCTGTGCCCTCCAGACACTCCTGAGGACTCCAAACTGGAGACCCCGCTTCAAGTTCTATCACTGGTCAGCTCTTGACATCATCTCAGATTTTATGTGTAAAGTCAAACCTCCATTCCTTTATGTGAACTCAATAATTCATATTGGTTTTTGTAGGACTCTGTCCTTCCTTGGGATGAGCTTGTGTCTCACTCTCATGTTCCTCTGCTCCTGGTACTATGCCATAGTGGCCATGGGGATCGCTGGCTCTATCTACAAATACATTGAGTTTGCAGGGTGAGTTCACAAAAAATTGATAAAAATCTAATGATTACGGCTCAAGGCCGAAACGTTTTGGTTTGATTTTTACTGAAAAACGTTTTAGTGTTTTGTTTTAGTTTCAAGCTCTTTTGTCTTCTTTGAACTCAAAATTCTTGATTTAATTTTTGCTATGAGATTTCTTAAAAATTAAATTTTCTAATTTAATGTAATGTTGCCACAAAAGGGATCCACTGGGGAAAAAAAAGACCTTATATTTTATCTTTCCACCTTTTAAGAATAGTGGAAAAATAAAATTTATTAGTAATAGACTGTTTCAATAAATTAAAGACATAACCATGATTACAGCAGTTTAATCTTACCTGAAAATAACGTGCACATTAAAATCTGACATGTTTAACATGATATTTTCCTATGTTAATATACTTGGTAAGATTTGGGGTTTTTGCAGTGTAGTTTTGCAAGACGTTGTGTCATGTGATAAATATGATGTTTTATTTCTTGCAGAACCTGCATCTCAGCAGCTTTTGCCCTTTGTATCTCAATGTGACGCAAAAAACTGTTCATGTTCTGACTGAAAAATATTGGTTGTGTCACAGTGCAGAGAAAGAATGGGGTGATGGGATACGCGGTCTGTCTCTGAGCGCTGCACGATACGCTCTCATGCGCCTTGAGGAAGGCCAACCCCACACCAAGAACTGGAGGTATGACACACACTCACACACACAAACATGTTTCCAATTAACATAGAAATTAACAACATGTCTGTGCGTGTTCAGTCATTCTCAAGTCACACCTGTCAAACTCCAAGAAGTGTTTGTTCATCCATGTCAACATGTGAATCATTCATGATGCTGTCTAATTTCTTTTTTCCTCTATACTCTTTTCTTTCTCGTTCACCTACTTTGTGTCTGCTCTAAATTTCATGTTCTATCCTTTCTTGTCACCTCTCCCCTCAGACCTCAGCTGCTGGTGCTGGTTAGCACAGATGCAGAGCAGAATGTGGAACAGCCTCGTCTGCTGTCTCTCACCAACCAGCTGAAGGCAGGAAAAGGTCTCACCATCGTTGGGACGGCTCTGGAAGGCACCTACCTGGCGAACTACGAGCAGGCTCAGCGTGCAGATCAGGCAGGGAGCATTTCACAGTCTGACGACAGTCTGCCACCTCCGATCAACGGTTTCATTCTGAGCAGCACAGAAAACATTCAAGTCTAAATCTGCAGTGATAGTCAAAAGAAATCAGGATACTCAATGCGCTGCATCCATTCGCATTCCCAAGTTAATGTGTTGGAAATGTTTTTGTTGCAAAAGTTTTGTACTGTAAATACGTATTACACATGAAAATGAGTACTTAGCAAATTGAAAGATATTATTTTACGCATGCTTTTAGTAATATTCTGAATAGTTACTGTGAAATTGACATTTCTTGTTTTACTTTGCAGGCACTGCGCAAATTAATGGAGACTGAGAAGGTGAAGGGCTTCTGTCAGGTCACCGTCTCCTCAAACCTCCGTGATGCTACATCCCATCTGCTGCAGGCCAGTGGGCTGGGAGGCCTGAAACACAATGCTGTGCTGGTCTCCTGGCCACGCAACTGGAAGCAAGGAGACGAGCACCAAACCTGGAGGAACTTCATTGGTATGCTTAGTTTCAATTTGGGTTTTACTAAGTTTTATTGAATAGAATGTATTTGGTCTGATCTGATCTGAAGTGCGATGAAATGAACTGAATTGATCAGATCTGAACTGAACCAATTTCAATTAAATTGAATTGAATTTAACGTAAATAAAATGAATTAAATAGTCAATTAATTGAATTGTATTGATCTGGTCGATCTTATCTGCTATGATTTGATCTGATCCGAACTAGATTGAATTTAACTAAACTGAATTAATTAATTGAATTGTCTTGATCTGTTTTGAACTGATCTCAATTGAGTCGAACTGAATTGAGGGGTGTGCGAATTGAACTAATTTGAACTGAACTGTATTGAAATGAATTGTGTTGATCTGACCTGAACAGAGTAGGACTGAACTGAGTGGAATTAAACTGAACTAAACTGAATTGAATTGAAATTAACAGTGAGTAAACTGAATTGAACCAAACTAAATTGAATCCAAAACACATTTTCTCTGAAAAACAGGCAAATACACTCACCAGCTACTTTACTAAAGATGCTTTCTTAGCTTTCATGAAGCAAATTTCCCACATCTGAAAGGTACAAAGGCCTTTGAGTAATTACATTCTGCTCATTGTCATGCTCAAGAAATCAGTTATAATTAGATATGGAGATTAGTTGGATTTGGTGAAATTTTTCTAACTTTAGTGATGCTGTGCAAATTATAGTCTCAGTTTCTACTTCTTAGCTGACAGTAGCAGTCATGGTCGTCTGTTTGCTTCAAAGTTTCATTTCCCATGGAACTTTGCTTCAACGTTCACCAAGTCCATCATGGTTCTGTGATGGTATTGTAATGAGATAGTATTTGAGCTTTTGTTTTCCAGTTGTAAACTTAAACTGCAACAGTCTGACCTAATTCAGAGGGATAAAAATTCCCTCTGTATTACTGGAAAATACTGGAATTTTCATCCCAGTATTTTCCCAGTAGGTCAGCAGTTTCTGAAATACTCAGACTGGCCCATCTGGCACCAACAACCATGCAACATTTAAACTCTTAAATCCTTTTCTTCCCCATTTTATTGCTAAGTTTAAACTTGGCCAATTTGTTTTTATTAAACCTAATGCATCCAAGAAACATAATCTTTGTTCTCAGCGTCTGACTTTTAATCAGATGAAACACTGATTTAATCTGCTTTAAATCAGTTAGTGCTTTCTATTTGCTCAAGGGCAGAAACAATGAGAAAGAGAGATTTAAAAAATATTTTGTATGTTCTTCCAAGTCAAATTTTTACACAAATTTCTTTTGTTCTTGGTAGCAATAAACTACATGACATACATTAAATGTTTTGGATATTCCTCCGGGAAATATCCAAATATTTCAATTAAACATTTGCACACAGTGAGAACATCCGATGCTTTTCTGTTGGATTGGTGTCTCAGTCTGGCAAGCTTCACCCTTTTTCCCCTAAATATAGCAGGGTCATTAGTCCTTCTCACTTCAACTTAACTTTCATTGTAAATAATGCCACTTTTTACCTGCTTCAGCCTGCATCTTCACAAGATCTTTGTTTTTTGTTCATATTCATTTCTGACAAAACCTCTTTGTACTGAATAATATGATGCCATGACATCTCTGTGCTTTGATTGGCTATTTTTTTTTTATGTCAAACAAGGAATCGGTCTGTTTGCACATTTACCTTAAACTACATCCACAGGTGTCGCTCAATTTAGTTGAAATGTTGACACTAATTCTTCCCATCAGAAGCTCCCAAAGCGCTGAAATCATCATTTAGGCTTTCCAAAATTGATTAAAGGCATAGTATTTTCAATTTATGTAAAATTTTCTTCAATTTCTTGAAAACAATCTTTTAAAATTATTCTCTCAAAGTATTCTGGGTTTTAGTAAATATTTTTTACTAACAGGTTTAGGAAACAAGTGGCCTGATTTAATGTCAGGGAGAATCAGAGATACTGTGTGTTTTATGTATTACATGTAGACAGGTAACTGCAAAAATACATAAAATACCTAAGATGTAGAGCGGGAAAGTTTTTTAAAAAGTGCAAAACAGAATTTTTTCAGGCTTTGCCTTACATTGCCGCCTTATCTGCAGAGCTGGTCAGAGAAACCACCATTGCCCGCCTCGCTCTCCTTGTACCAAAGAACATTTCAGCGTTCCCATCCAACAGCGAACGCTTCACTGAGGGTCACATCGATGTGTGGTGGATCGTCCATGATGGAGGCATGTTGATGCTGCTGCCCTTCCTGCTCCGCCAACATAAGGTACCGTTAATTACCACCACTATAATAACGGAGACTGACGAAATCCACATTTTAAAATAATATTAATGTCTAATCTGCAATTAATGTAATTAATCTGCAATTAATTGCAGATTAGACTGTTTGATCTTAGACAGCTCAAACAGTCTTAAGAGTTTGGAGATGTTTTAACAAATGGATGAACTATCTTATTACATTTTTAGGTCTGGAGGAAGTGCAAGATGCGCATCTTCACTGTGGCCCAGATGGACGACAACAGCATCCAGATGAAAAAGGACCTGACTACTTTCTTGTATCATCTCCGCATTGATGCTATGGTGGAAGTTGTTGAAATGGTGAGTTTTTAAAAGCTGACAGCACACTGTTGTGTAAGTAAAACAACATGCATTCTAAAGCATTTATAAGCACTTTAATGTCAGAATCACTCAGCTGGGGAAATAATTAGAAAATCCAGCAATGCCTCAGGCTCGGCTGTTTTCTTCAGTAAACACAACTACCACTTTTTCACAAAGGATAAATGACTGCTGTGTATTCCTCTGCCTCAGCACAGGAATAATTGTTATTGTTCACCAAATACATATTCATTGGCACAACATCCTTCAGACTTTACCTGTTTCTTTTAAACATTTTGGTTTCAGGGGAAGAACGTATCTCTTCACTTCTCCATTTGTGTGCAAACAAACATCTGGCACGGACTCTTAGAACATGGATGAAGAACAGACAAATAAAATATTTCTTTTTCCCTCAGCATGAAAGTGACATCTCAGCCTACACATACGAGAAAACACTGGTGATGGAACAACGGTCACAGATGCTGAAACAGATCAACCTGACCAAGACGGAGCGCGAGAGGGAGGTAGGGAAGTTTGTTCATGTCAAAGTTTTGTTTTTAGAAGCACCCAGATATACGCACATTATCTTGACACGACTTGACAAGCCGACTCGGCATTGCTTGGCTTGATTTGAATTAACATGACACACAGCGCCCTCTGGACAAAAGCGGATCTTGTGTTAAATCAGAGTAGTGGGTCACCATATTTATCCTCTCTATCAGGGAGTTGACAACAGCCTGAACAGAAAGTGCTCTCATGCTGTGCTTGACAGCATGACAATGTTTTGACAGAGGTGGGAAAATAACATTTTTAAGTCTTTGTGTTACTCCTTTAAATTACACATAAAATAGAGTCATAGGAAGAACACGGTCTCTAAAACTGTCAATATTGTCTTTGGAAAAACAAACTATACCTTTGTTGCTTGTCAAGAATTTTAAAGGAGAAAGAGTCAGGTGGTCCCAATAAAATACAACATCACTCATTTCACTATGAGAGAGTGTGACTACCACGACAAAAGCAGAGACTTCCCAAAAGCAGCAGACACTATGCCAAAGAGGAAATAAATCATTAATAATGTCCAGGGAATTGTAGCTTCTATGAATCTGGGAAAAATCATAAGGCCATTTCCAAACAAACTGAAGTTGATCATATGTGAGCAAATAGTGCCATAAAGACAAAGGAACACTTCAGAAAAGTTATAGATGACACTGAGGAAAAACATTAAAAGTATTCTTATGATACAAAAGGGTCTGGTCTTTTGCAGCAATGCGAGAGAATAATAAATGTCACAAACCCTATGAATGTAATATTAAGAACAGAGCAAAACAACATCTGTATGTATCACACCTCTTTCCTCTTTTTTTTGTCGTCACAGATCCAGAGCATCACCGATTCCTCCCGCGGATCTATTCGCCGTAAGAACCCGGCCGCTGTTACAACCCAGCTGAGTGTGACCGAGGAGCCGCCTGCCACCAGCAAAGAGGAGAAACCTGAAGAAGAGGTAGGATCTGCCTCAACAAGAGAGACCAATTCACTAGTAGGCCTGCAGAAAGTTAGCTCTGAACAGAACTATATCAAGTTGAAGATTTTGTTTTGGAAGATGTTTTAAGGGATTAATATAAAAAGTATTTCCTATAATGCAAGGCTACTACCAGCAACAGTTTGGATCATTTCAGTCCAGTGGGAACACTATTTTCTTTTAAACTGACAACAGCTTTGTCTATAACGGCATGAAAAAGCTGTGTGTGTTCAGACAAACAATGTTTAATCCCATTTCTCCTTCCTCTCCTCTCTCAAACACTGTGGCTCTCTGTTACTTTACCTGCATTCCCATATTTCCACTTTTACTGTGGCTTTTCGACTTTCCGCGTTAACATGTGCGTGAATCTACATTCGTCCTCTTCCTCCTCTCGTCTCATTAGTCAAAGTCGGCCTCTTCCCCCGTATCCCCCCCTGCTCAGGTCCAGCTCATCTATGACAACACCACCCCAGCCAGTCCCGCCACCCCAGCAACTCCGCTGACCCCTGGAGAGGAGGCTCAGAGTCCCGGGGAGCAGATCCAGAGGACCTGGACAGAGAAGTGTGATGGTGAAGCAGCCAAGCCTCTCGGAGGGACCACACGAGATGACATCAAGGACATCTTCAACATGAAGCCGTGAGTACCTAGCCATGCTCTATGACCTATTACCTAAGATGCATCAATCCAATATCAATATCTGTATTGGTCCTGATATAGAAAAAGTTTCTGGAACAAGTATCTGTGACAATGTCCCTAATTCATAATGGCATATCTATTGAGTTTAATTCTATGCTTTGTGCTCTGTGTGATGCCATTCTTTATTATTACTTGTACGTTATATTAAGAATTCCTTTCTGAATCATTTGAAAGGTTTGTTGAAGTTCATTTTTGACCAAGATAGTTAAGCCATTCTTTTTGTCTGTTTTTGTTTCTTTATTATTTATTTTACCTTGGCTGAAATACTCATAACTGAACTGACTGAACAAATTAAAGTTGTTTAGTTTTTACATGTTTGACCAAGAGTGTGAAGCTATTGACATGTTTGCATGTGCTGTACTGGGGCAGTTATCAAATGAATTTGTAATCCGGTACATTTATGTTTGTGTTTTTTTTTTAAAAAGAGAAACATGCTTGTTCAATTCAGCGCTGGCTTTTTGTATCAGATCAGTATCGACCAAAACTAAACGTCAGATATCTGTGTCATATCGGAAATCAAATGCATTCCCCAGAAAACACAAGAAGTTGAGGTTGTTTTTAGGTGGGGTCACATTTTGTAAAAAAAAATATATATATATATTTTTTTTATAAAGATTTATTTATTTTTCTTATAATGCTGCAGAGAGTGGGAGAACCTGTAAGTACTGAAGTCCCTATGAACCTCATTTCATTGATCCACATCTCATACCCATCCGATCAGGCACATGATAAGCTGAGGATGTTGTAAAAATAAAAGTGCGAATGTGCATCTGCCATCTGTATCACCTCTGAGCATCACAAGACGCTTTGAAACAACCAGCGGGAATCAGATTGACCTTTTCCCTCCTTTTGTCTCCTCTCAGGAACCAATCTAATGTGCGGCGCATGCACACAGCACTCCGGCTGAATGAAGTCATCCTTAAAAAGTCCTCAGAGGCCAAACTAGTTCTCCTAAACATGCCAGGGGCACCCAAGAACCGGACAGGTGATGAGAACTGTATCCTTTGTCAGGAGAATCGAATGCAGGGGTGTCCAAAGTGCACACCGGGCCGTAAGACTTAAATTAAGGCCGAAAAATGTCTTAAATTTATTTAAAAATAAGTTAGCCTTTACATTAATTGCGTGTCTTAAATTTAGTCTTGGCTGGACTATTTAGTCTTGTAAAGCTAATGTATTGTTTTCTCTTGGGACTTTTCTATTAGGCAAAAGTTTGAGTTGCACTCAAACATCGTCATTACATTTGTATGACTCAAGACAGTTGAGGCTACTGCTAACTAGCTGCTAATATACTCGTGTTAACCAGGTTACCCTACCATGGGTAAGTGTCTCTACCATGGGTAATTGTGAATTTGTGAGCAGTTAACAGAGTTCTGTACAGATATAGGTCCAAATTTCATTCATGATGTCCTTAAAAAGACTTAAATTTGAATTAGTGAAGCCTAGAGAAACCCTGAATTAATTATGCCTTCAAATAAAGGTTATAAATTACCTTTATCATAAATATTTTAAAATATTTTTCTCAACACATTAACTTCACATAGAAGGTGAATTTTATTCTATTTTATTTTTCCATTATAAGATTTTGATGCTGCAAGAACGATTAAATTTATATTGAAACATCTTTAACATATTTCCCCGGGGTGGTAAAAATGCCCACCTCCAACTTGTATGAGGAAGCAAAATGGAAAAACTTTTACTGCCAAAAATATTCGGACTCTTAGCTGTAGCTTATAGAGCTGCCTGTCTATATTTTTTCTGCATGCTTGGATAAATCTAATACCTGCAGTTCTTTACAGATCTCTGTGGTCATACTGCAGCAATCGGGGAGAGGAGCTATAACTCTGCTTCTATTGCTTTGTGGAAGACAGAGACTCTGCAGTCCCACTAATTGAAATTGAGAACCCATAAAACCAATAGGACTCCTTCAAGACTTAAACATCTGGGAAACAGAGTAACTAAAAAAAATGGTCAGCGAGGTGATGTTAAGACATGCTGGGAGGTTTTTAAAAAGTTCCCTTCAGAGTTGGAAGAACCTGAACAGTTTTTATAACACAAATCTCAAATAGAAAGTGTAAAAAAAGAGTGCCTCCCTTTTTAGCAGCATGATGAAAGCAACCAAAAAAGCTGGCAGAACCTTAGAGTATCGCAGACACAGGTTCACACAGACCACCAGTAGACTAACCTGACAAGGGCAGTACAGATATTTTTATTCACTATGAAAAAGCATTTCAGGATATACAATTCTATACATAGAAAAATATTCTTTTACATACATTTTTTATTAAGCTTGGTTATTAGAAAATAGGAATTTTTGAATAAAGTTCTCATTTTGTTGCTGGGAATAGACTAAAATATTTTCCAGACTGAATAAACGAAATAAAAATTACCCCAAAAGTTAGGAAGCTGTCTGCCGCATTTAAAGTGTTTGAAACCACACAAAATAAAAAACTAGTAAAAGTGGTCAATGCAACTCCACTTGACTGCGACACAGAGTAAAAAACCCATGGGTTTTTTTACCCCTCGTTATTGTTTCATGAGAGTGAAAAAATAACCGTCAAAAGAATTTGAATGCGATACGCTAACAGGCCACAACACCAAACCTAACTCCATAAAATCCCAACTGAAAAGCAAATTTTCCTCCAGTTGTTTCTTTAACTTTAACCTAAGACATGGAATTTCTTGAGGTCCTCACCGATGGTCTAAACCGAGTCCTTCTGGTTCGCGGAGGCGGCCGCGAGGTCATCACTATATATTCCTGAAAGAGCAGCACCCTTGCCCCCTCTACATTCCCCTTCCTCTGTTGCAGTTGTACTCTCGCCTCTTCATCTGCATTGCTTCATTATGAGGTCCTGTTTATTTCTGTGCTGTAGTTCTCTCACACCCAACAAATAGCCCCGCTCAGCTTCAACGCCTCTCCCTGTGCTCTAGATGAATCCAAAACCTTTCCTCTGCAAACTCTCAAAATGAAAGCATTCATATTTCCATTTAACCACTCGAACCCGGTTGGGATGAGGTGTTGGCGAGTGCGGGTTCTTCGCGGAAGTGTGAAAACCCCTGCATGTATATGTCTGTTATTGCTTTAATCTCTGTGTTTTTATTTTTGATTTTTTTTTTTGTTTTTCTGAACACAAGAGTGGGACAGACATGGCTTCTAATCGTCACAAGTGTTATCTGGCTGAAATGAGATCATTGTAGGATTAGATCTCTCGAGTTCTCTTGTGTTGATTGGACTCTTCCGGCAGCCGTTTTCATGACGGACTCTGCAGCCTGCAGTCAGGACCACCGGCTGGAGGATGGAGGAGAGTACAGCTGGGGAAGTATGAACTGTGAAACTCACTTAGATCCAGGAGACTTAAAAGCGGCTCTTCTCTGCACTCTTATCTTTAACCTGCTCACTCTTTAGCATGACATTTTCAACCGCTGTGTATGTTTTTACTCCACTTGTTCTGTTACTGTCACCACTTTCTTTCCCTCTCTATCCCCCAAGACTTTTCTGCTCATTTCTAAGTGGCTGTTTTATCTTTGTGGCCACTGTTTGTGCCAAAAAAAAGTACAAGGCTAGTTTGTTGAGATTGACACGTAATTAAACTGTGAATATAGTCTCCTAGCAGAAGGCTGGGGTCCCAGCAAAGTGGGGAGACAGTTACAAAGCCCCCCCACCAGGAGGAGGATGTTATCGTCGCCAGCACCTCTCGAACCCTTGTGTGATTCACTGTAAATAATGTACAAGCTCAGATGCGTTGTTCAGTATGAGTGTAGTATTTTTGTGACCAACTGAAAAGCTTTTAAGTGGAGAGAAAAAAGGCTCCTTCGCTCAGAAAGAACACTGAAAAATGCTGTTTTTTAAAAAATGTATTTATTTATTTTATTGTATCTATTTATTGGCTCCCATTACTATGATAAATGTCATTGCTAGAAAAAGCACCTGCACTCTTCACCACTGTGCGACAAGTGAGATTTTGATGCTTTTAAAGAAGAAAAAAAAATCACTAAATGTTATTTTTTCATCTAGAGAAATATTTATGTCACTTTGATTGTCAGAGATATATCATCTGTTTTGACAAATTCTTATACATTAATGTGCCAAATGAAAGTATTTTAGTGAAGAAAATTATATCAAATTCCACTATATGAGACAAAGTGTTGTAAAAAACAAAAAGAAAATAGTAAAGATACTCTAGTTTGAAAGAGGCCCTGTAGATAAATAAAGACTGAATGTTCAGTTAAAAAAAAAACAACAGCTGCTCAAATCAGGCTGGAAATGCTGAACATCTGTTGATTATTTCTTTATAGGGTTTTATAAAGAGACTAAGAATGGAGGACAATGGTTTCTGTAGCTTCGAAACTCACTTTGCCCACAAGAAGGAACTCTATGCAGTAGATTCTCCAGTCAGATTTTATATCCCCGAGATTGGTGACGATCTGAGCCACATGTTTCCCCACATCTGAACGACTCGAGAGCAAATTTGAAAAACAAAAGTGCATCTTGAAAGGAATGTGCAATAGTTGCAAATCTGGACTCACGTGATCATGTTATTTATTTTTTTACACATATTTTGTATATGTAGATTTCGTAAGTCTTGTGCGATCCAGAATCATCTCACTCTGACCAAGGACTTCTGTCACTTTTATTATTCCTGTTTCTTTTCTTTAAAGAAACTATTTTTAGTCATTTGCACTTGTAGTAGAAGTATAAATATAAATTCATATATATATATATATATATACATAGTATATATAAATATAAATATATATAAATATATATAGTATAGGGAAGGAAAACAAATTAGTTTATAGAACTATTTAAAAATGTTATTTAAAGTTTTTAGTGTTGCTTGAATGTCTGATCATATGTTGTGAATGCTGCTAGTATCTATAGATTTATTTGTACTGTAAATAGAGATGAATCAACTCTAAAGACGACATAAAAAGGGTATAGACATACATATCAGTGCTGCTGGTGGTTATCTAACAACACGAGGCTGTACCTGTACACGTTTGGCCTGTGACCTCTGGACAGGGTTCTGTTTTAATAGAAATACTACAATGAATAACTTGATGCAATATTCCATAAGTGAGAGTAAACCATTTTCTCACTGCTCTATTTATAATAATTATATTTTATCCCTCAGACAAGTGAAGTAACTTAAAGGTAAAAGAACTGGAGTTTTAATGTTTAAATGTAAGGATTTCTGATGTATTTGATAAATTTTAAACTTTTGACACCTACTATATTATTTAAAAAAAAAAAAAACAGACAAACCACTCCTCTTCTAGTGTTCAAAGATTGTGTGCCAAGTCATGAGGATTTTCCTTTTACATGCCCATCACGGACAAAGAGGGAGTTGCTCACAGTTTTTCAGTTATTTTAGGACCGTCTACAGCGTCGCCTGCATCATCTGAGCCTTTTAAATTTATTCAAAAAGATATTTGAAGTTTATTGGAGAGGTTTACTGGAAATTTATTTATGGAATTCTAAATGTTTTATAACTGCTGTTTGCATGGTATTATGTGGCAATATTTGTTTCAGTGGCTTTCTATAGTGATTAACTTACATGTTCAAGGTGAAGCACTCGGAGTGAAAGTGGCCTGGTATTCTCAATACGTTATACGATTTTTGAGAACACAGTTTGGTCAAACCTTGAAAAAAAATTGTTGGAAGGAAAAAAAGGATGAAAAAAATATGGGTTCACTTTACTTGTTATATTTCAATCTCTCTCAAGTAGTTTTACATAACATAATAGATTATGTTTGCGAATCGACGGGCCTTAAAAAGGGTCACTTCACTTTTGTAAATATATTTAACATAAATCTGAAACACTAACATACTAGTGTTGTCTTATTGTACACTGTTCTATCACTGTGGACAAAGTCTGAGTTTTGTAAGATCATGTGCAATATTGTTTTTGCTTTTGTTTACTTGCTTTACATCAGCACCGGCACTGTCATAATTCCAGTTTTATCAGCAGGACTTTTGGGTTTTAAACCTGAATGTGGCTGAGACACCAGATCAGTTTACTCTTAGGGAGCCCTCTATGTCTGCAGCATTGGAGAGCTCTATGCTCTGCAGATTATCTCAGAGTGACCTCTGGTGGTAAGAGAGTGTACTACAGGCTGATATTATTTACCCTCATCCAAACTCACTAAGTTTAGCATTTTATTGGACGTTTTAGCATGCACACCTTTTTTTAAAAAAAAAGAAAATTCAGACAGTTCATTTCAAAGAAAACAGTAGCTGTTAAATTTATTGTGCTTGTTACTCAATCTGTGAGGTGAGCCCTCCCAGAATCCCCTCCCTCTTCATCACAACACCCCAGAGTTTCACCATCCCAGCCACAAAAATCCACCCCAGCATTGTATTTTAAATGTGACTGCAGTATAATTCTGAAAAATTATCAAAGAATATAAAACTCGCGCTTCCAATTCTGGCACTGGCTCTGCTTGGACTTTGTTGTCTAAAAAAAAAAACAGCATGTAACTACTCCCCCCGATTTAACAATCCACAACTTTACATCATATTCATCACCTGCACAACTGTAGCATGAAGAAAAAAAAAAAAAAAACACCTGCGGGTGATCACTACCCAGTCTCCATTCTTCAATGGATATTAAGGGCTCTGAAACACATCTGTTGCCAGGTGGAAGAGGAGGATGTCCTGTTATGGAGTATCAAAGAGGGGAAAAAAAACAAGTCCCAGATCATTGCAGAAATGGGACGTGGCTAATACTCACACCCTTCAGTGGATGACAGCGGCTTCAGACAAACATGTCTGATCCAAACAATGGATCATAACTATCTTTTGCGTTATACTTAATCTCATCTAGTGAGACGAAGAAAAACTCAAGCTTCTGTCCAAGCAGAGCCATCTTCCAGTTATGTTGTGTTACTCAGTGCATGCATGCAACTACCCTGAACAAAGTGTGCTGAAAATATATTGGGTGTTTGTGATATACAAGTATTCTGTTTGTATTGGTCAGAAACTTTGATTTCTAGTATATTTTTCTCTTTCATTAGGACTGGCCTATTGTTGTATCCAAGATGGATATTATTATAATCTATTTTTCAAATGGTAGATCTATCCACAAGGTTCTCTTGTTGTGTCAGCTATTAAAAAGTAAAATAACTGCTAAAGTTTCTCTCAGCTAAGTATGAAAATGTTTTCCAGTGAAATGGATAATAGACAAGGAAAAATTGTGTTTTCTAGTTTTCCAGTAACACTTAAAAATTTACAAATATGTGAGGTAAATTTTAATATGAGCTGCTTGACAGGTGGCTCGTCTGCTGCCTTACCAAAATCAGACTTAATTGCAGTTCAGATAGAAGATTTCCAAATTTATGTAACATTTTGGGAAATGTGCTTTGTTATTACTGGCACAGAAAAATGGAAATAGGAACAGGTGTCTGGGCATAGGCAGATCTAAAATGTTGAAAGGCTGCGTTCCAGTTATCTGGGAAGGAGGAAGTTGGAGCTGGATCTGATGTCAGACCTGAGATAAATTCTGATTCAAGTTAAATCGGAATTTCAACATGGCGACAGTTATAGACATTGTGTACAATAGCTCTTACAAACATAATTTTAAGCTTTACTTCCTATAAGCAAACATCACTTTTAATTTGTTGTTTAGAGTTGCAGGCACCATATGTAACATTTTAGGCACATTGGTAAATGAATGTCTCAACATGTTTCAACTACATTTTAGTACTGTTGAGGAGGATTAGAGTAGTTCCTAGATTCCCAGTGGAAAATCAGACAGAGTTCCAGTTGATTTTTCTGACTGGGAAGTCGAAATTTTCCAGTTACGACTAAAGCTGGAACGCAGCATAAGATTTTAGTACAGCTTATGCTGCATTTTAGTGCAACCTTTGATAGGTTGCACATGTTCTTAGAAGACAGCCCAACTTGCTTCCATTATCTATGCCAGTCCTACCTTAGAATGATTACAATTCAATTACCATAAAATGCACATTTCTCAAAACATTCAGATCTTTAGTATCTGAAAGTTTTAAGGCTTTTATTTGATTCTTTGATTCTCCCCAAGAGGAACCTTGTCACTATCCAAACTTGACAATATTTTCTATGGATGCTTAGAAAACAAAAACTGGATGTGAATGTTTTCAATTGGCATCCACACAAAAACCTGTGTTTAGCTTCACAGATATAAAATTTGAATTGTTCACGACTTTTCCTCAACACCCTCCCCAGTCTAATGGTACGCGGTAGTGTGTTCCTTTCAGTTCTGTGGGGGTGTGTATGCGTGTACACGTGCACTTGTAACTGCTGGGGGCGGGGTGGTTAATGGGCATGGGTGGGACGGGACCACATGTAAATAAAATCAGATAGTTAGTGTAGAGGTGTTTATTTTCTGTGTCAGTGTAAGTTAAATATTCTAAACTAAAAAGAATATGTATTATTCTCTATTGTGACTCATGGTACATCTAAAAAAAAAAAAAAAAGCCGTTTTATCCATATTTCAAATGCTTATCTCTCTGGCTTCTGGCGATACCTGTTCCATTTTATAGATTTGTCAGCACAAAATGCAATAAACCAATATCATTTTACTACAGAAAGTGTGTCTGCAGTTTTTAATCATGTTGTTTTGACAATAAAAACAAAACTACAGATTGACCAGCACAATGAAAAACTATAAAACAAGCTCAGGACTGAAAAGAACCAACTCTATCACAAAGCAAAATGTACTCATAGCTCTGTTGTTCATTACACACCGTAAAAGATTCTGTAAAATATTTCAGGCAAACTGAAAAGACTAACCATTATGCAATTTAAGCAACCCTTCCAAATTTCAACTGCACAAAATTGAGGAGAAAATTTAAATGTTTACAAAACATCTCCAGGGTCATCTAACACAAACATATCACAGAAAAAGTTGTAGTAAATGCTTCTAACCGCTCATTTGTCTCAATAATGGCGAGGATACATGGACATTGGGGGTGGACCCTGTCCCATATTGGAAGCTGACCTCTGGGGCATCGGTGGAGCAGACCCAGGGCCCACCAGGTTGTTCAGAGACGGCCCACTCTGAATGAGTGTGTCCAGAGCTTTTTGGACACTTGGGTTGTCAAAATTGATGCCTGAAGTGGCAGCAGGGGGTCTCTGAGGAGTAGACGCAGGGGGTAAGCGGGACAGTGACATGGCGTAACTCTGCGATCCCCCTGAAGCCATCCCTTGCATTGGTGGACGGGATGGATTTTGGGAGGGGGAGGGACCGAGTGAGCTGTAGGAGTGTGACTGAGGGCCGCCCTGGGATACGGCAGTGGATCCTGATATGGGGCTGGAGCCGCTATTAAACAGACTGAGGATTTTAGCCTGCAGCTCCTGCTGGTGATTCGGGTTTGTCGAGGCGCTGGAACTGGTCGACAAATGACTTGGCTGGGTGGTGCTGAGTGTAGATGGAGTGAATCCCACAGCTGATGGCACCACATCACGACGCTGTGCTGCAGGAGCTTAAGGTTGACAATTCAAATTGATTGTTTATTATATGTCTAGCATGACAGAATGCATACCACTTTAAAACTACCAACTAGTGATTTGAAGCAGTCTTTAAATGAGGTAGTTACCTGCCAGAGGATCTTCAGAGGCTCTTACAAGACGAGTTCTTTTATCCTTCATGTATGCAATGAGGCTGTCTAGTTCCTCTGGGGTTAAAAACCTAAATGAAAAACATCCAAAAACAACCTCAGTCTTGGACTATGTTCGCACAGCAGGCAAAGACAACTCCAGCCCAATTTTTTCTTGCCTCATGTGACCCATATTTGACTTTTTCACTGAAATCTGAACAACTCCATTCTAATCTTTTCACTCCCTCTCTACTGCTACTTCCATGATTGTTACTAAATCAGACACATATCCAATAGGTTACATATATATGCAGTATTTTTTAGACATTGTAGTCAGAGCTTTAGATTCAACACTTTCGAATGTCTGACAACTTTTGGTGAACTGTGAGGTGCTGTGAGACCAGAGGCCAGTGCCACCATTGCTTCAGGATACAAACTGGCATGACTTGGTCAATGGAGCAGCTATTTAAGCGCATCACATCTCAGTCCCACACTCATACTTCAGCGTATGTATCCAAACATACGCTTACAGGGTTGCAACAGGAACAAAACAAGACCTCAAATAAACCTAGAAAGATGAATTTTAGACTAATTTCCATGAAGATCACTCATAAGGTCATGCAGCAAGTCTATTGGTGAAAAACTGTGGTATTTCTAGTGCAGTACGGAGAGTGTTTTCAGCTGCAGTACGTTCTGTCTGTGTTTGTGTCCCTACAGGTATTTAAGGGGATGTCAGGTATCTATGCCAAGAAGACAGCCTGCTTCAGCATATGTATCCAAACAAACTTCTCTAGAGGTTGCAGGCAACGCTCCACAAAAGGCCATTTCTATTCCTAACTTTCTTCTTCTCATTGTGATCTTGTGACAATATTCTCAGTTCCCACTAATCTACTTTAAAATCAAACCATAGACAGCGACATCCACCATCACTTCCTCAAAACATGGTGCTGCTGCGTCTGTGTTCTTCTGTCAATGGAAGCTACTTTGGGGTCATGAACTGTTCACAGAGAAGTCTGATTTTGGTTGTATCATTCAGTAGTATGAATGTCAACGGAAAAAAGACCAAGAAAAAAACAACAAAATCAAGATCTGCTGTGACAATGCAGCAGTAGAAGCCACAATTTTAATTTCAGCACATCTTTTAAAGTGTGAGTGTATACTGTTTGATACCTGTTCTCTGCCAGCAGCGTGATGCTGGTGAGCACTGAAATGGGATGGCTCTCTCTATCAGGCTCCCGGAGTAAGACATCATCCGCCATCTTGGCAGCCTTTCTCGCAATTTCCTCCCGTTCTTTTTCTCGGTTCTCCACTTTGTAGGTGTCATAGTTGTGGGCGACCAGCAACATTGCATCTTGCATTGGCATGTTTCGATGTTCTGGTTAAGTAAAATACATGCAAGAATGAAAGGTATGATTCACTGAAGGGCTCCTTTTGAGGCTGACCTAACCAATAGATTTTCACGGCTGACTTAAATTACCTTGAGGTGTACCAAACAGGATGTTGACAGTGCAAGATCGGTGCACCTGATGCTGCTGAGTGATGATGATGGCGAAGGGAGTTCTGGCTCTGCCTACGTCCTCCAGAGCCTGGGTGAGAGAAACTTCCGTGTTCAGGAAGATCAGATCCACAACCATTCCCAAATCGCGGACTTTTCGCCCGACTGTCTCTGCATACTCCCTACAGTTGTTTTAGAAGCAAGAGATGCACAAAAACACAAACACAGGAGCAATATGAAATGAAAATATTCAAGATAAGGTTAGAGACTTCCAGAAAGGAATTTGATTCTTGATGCTGCAAAGAACAGACTGTGAATTTACTTCTGTGCCTTGTTTACAACGATGACAGAGCAGTCAACAGGGCGATCCATGTCATAGCGCCGCTGGAGTTCTTCGTAGTACTGTCGATACAGTTCATTCCGACGGCGCTCTTCTGGCCGAGCGC